TATTATTTATCTTTGTATGTGAGAAAAAAATATTCGACTTGCGGCCATTTCGATTTACGTCTCTAAGACGAGAATTGACTGTAATTTAATTTGATAAGAGTAAAATATTATCTATTTATTACTCTTTTATAGAATATGCCAAATTGAATTGAAGCAGCGTATTGAATCATTGTCAGATGTTTTAACTAAAATCAATGAAGCACTTCAATGCCCATTTGAGACTGATTCTTATGTTAAGAAGCTCATTAACGCTAAACAGAAGATAACCGTAGTAAGTAACATCTTACAAGTTACTCAAGAACGGATACATAAGCTTCATCAAGCTGTAGAAAAAAATACAGCTAAAAGAAAAGCGTTATTAGATCATAGTTCTATTTATAGTAGTGCTATTCATATACATGAAAAAGAAGAGGGGGAATAGAGAATTAATATATAGTACTTACATATTCTTTTATTATTCTTTATCAACGTGAATAAAGAATAATAATTTTTAATAATAGATTTATATAATTATAAATAATATAAATTTAATTTTCTTTTTAACTTAATTATGGAAACTGCAATAGTTAAACTTTCTAAAGATGATCTAGAAACTGTTTATGAACCAGCCGAAGATTCATTCTGCATGCTTGATGCGTTGCAGAATGATTTGGGCGCTTTGAAAATTATGAAATCAGTCTTGTGTCTAGAAATCGGTAGTGGGTCTGGTGTTCTTATTACTTCATTGGCTATGGAATTGAATAAGTATACTCAAGGTTATTACGTAGCTATTGATATAAATCCAAATGCATGTAGAACTACAAAAGTAACTGGTAAAAACAATTCGGTTGATATTAATGTTGCACAAATGGATTTATTAAATAACATACGTTATAATGAAATGTTTGATATTATCTTATTCAATCCACCATATGTAGTAACGGATAGCGAAGAAGTTACAGATTCAAAATTAATTTCTAGAACATGGGCTGGTGGAAAACATGGTAGAGAAGTTATGGAAAAAGTATTTCCACACATTCCTAAATTATTATCAAGTAATGGAATTTTTTATCTAGTTGTTATTAAAGAAAATGATCCGAATTATATAATTGAATTGTTCAAACGTTTAAATATGGTAGGTACTATCGTTCAAGAAAGGAAAATTAGAGGGGAACATTTATTTGTGATGCGCTTTACCAAAAATTCTATTTTTTCTTAATTTAATATTAAAAATAATGTTATTAAAAAGGAGAAAATTTATTTTCCATGGAGATGATATAAAATTACGTTTTTTCTTTTAAACGTAATATATTATAATTATATAAAGTAAATATATATATTTTACATATTTCTGTATTATTTATCTTATGTATAACAAATTTTTTTTACTTCGTTGACTAATTATTTTTTTAATTGTTGTAAAAAAATAATAAAAATTTTTTATGTGTTCTTAAGAAGTATCATAATTTATTGCATAATAATATTTATATGTATTTATATATATGTATTTATTCAAAAAGGGCCATTTTATATGATGTTAAGTCATTAGTGATATGTAATTGTATGGCTGTTATATTATAGAACATTAAATTATAAAATTTGTATCATTATTAAAATAATTATAAATAGCAATAGAATTAATTTTTATTTTCCATCATAGTCTTTCAAATCATTAATTTCTCTTCAGTTCATTTTTAATACAATTGCTAATCGTGTGATTCATTTTTTATAGACAAAAAAATAATTATATTTTAATATTTAACTACGTGTCAATTGATTTTGACCTATAAATTCTTTGTAATTTTATATGCAATGATGCTGCACTAACAGTCATTAAAATAAGCGTACCTAACATAAGAGAAAATGCAGCATAAAATCCATTATTACTTATACATATGTTCTCCTCTTTCGAAACTTCTTTTACAAATGATGATTCCTCCATATTATCCAATACTTGATTACTTACTGCACTCAAATCGTCAAGCATAATAACTTTGAAACCACGCCCAACTCTAACTGCATCTGCTGATAGAGGTGCCATCGACATGTTCGATGGTGCATATGCTACCGAACGACGTCTTCTACCTGGTTCAATTTGCTAAAAAAAAAAGAAAGAGCAAAAAATATAAATGTAATATAGGAATTATACGTATGCGTTAGTAAAAATTACAATCTAGTATGATCAGCGTTTCTCAATAAATATTGTTTGCTATATTACAACGATTTTAATCTTTGCGATATCTAATTTTTAATAATCTAGTTAAATGAAGTAACTGTGTTACTGTGGTATTTATACACATTTGCAATATTATTTTAGTATAATTTTGATTAAAATTGTTTTTTATACTTTTGTGTAGATTTATTTTAATTATTTTGTGATTAATTAAAAATTTAAGATAATGCAATATGATAACTGAAACTCTATAAGGGTTGAGAAAAGCTGAATAGATGATACGATATATTGATGGAATTCTGATACGCACTTGATTTGATTCCGGACAAGCTGGACAATCCGTCTTACAAAGTTCAACGTTACACTCGATAAATAAGTCCATCACGTCGGGAAATTTAAAAGCTTGGAAAAATGCGTATGCGATAATCGAAGCACCTGTATTACCCGTATCGTTAGTTTTTTGGAATGCACCAAATAATTTTGGTTTGAGGATGCAACCACGTTCATCCGTTAGTTGTAAGATATTCGTTGAACTTTCGTCTCGTGCTATGCAATCACGTACCTAAAACACATTAACAGAATAAGTTAATGATAATAATTACATTAGAATTTTGTGTACGTATCTACGAAGCAGTTCATCAATGATTTATCTATCTGCATAGTAAAATTCGTCAATGCGCAAATTTTAATAGTTGTGATGTACTGCTTCGTAGATTAACGATTTTTATTTCACGAATAATTAGAAAACGAAATCATTGACGAACTATTTTTTAGAATTATTTTTATAATACTAATTGTAATATATTTTTTTGTTTAAATAAGGATACTTTTACACGATCAAATTGTTTGTGTATATTTAAGGATAATATAATAAAAATATTAAGCTTCAAATAAATAGAAAATTCCTTTTTAAAATATATACCTGAAGATCGAAAGCTGGATCACCTTCGACAGTTACAACCAATGTCATGGTTTCTCCTATTTTGACTAAACCATCAGCCATAGGAGCAAACGGACCTTTCCCAATTTGTATATCTAATTTAGCAACCGCCGTATCACCGCTGAACGTAACGATTTCTTGATTAAGCATGTCCACAGATAAATTTACCGAAAGGGCCTTGTTGATATTACCTTCCCAAAGACAACGTACTCTTCGTACAGTGTCCCATACCTCTTGTATACCTGGCTCGTTCTGTAAAGATTTCATTTTGAATGTCTGATAATGGAAGAATAAAATATATCCGCTATTCAAATTATATTATAAATATTCGATAAGATAGTAACAATGCGAACCTGCAAGACCAACACGTTTTCAAGATACGCTTGACCAGCTTCACCCTCAAAATCATTGATGAATTGGGTACCACAAGAATCCAAGCTAACTGTGAAAGAGTATTCTGTTCTTCCGGAATTTTGTTCGACGTATCTACAATCAGGATTCATGAAGAAACCCTACAACAATAACAACAAAGAAGACATTATCATCAGTCTCAGTCGATCATTCATTTTATATTGATTAAAAAATGTATGACCAAAATCTAATGAAAACATACCTTAGAATAAATCACGCCGTCGAAAGCACGATTAAATTCAATATTAATCGTCATCATGGTCTTTCCACATTCAACCGAGATATTATGAATATGCGGCGGATGTTTGAGATCATCGTCAACCTCGGTACTCGATATTACTTCTGCGTAATTACAAAAGATAAAGGAAATTATGAAAAATTAAGGGGCTTGGAAGAAATTGAGGAAAATCAAAAGAAAAATCTTACCAGTATCACTAGTTGAAGTTGATACGGATGTTGGATTAGGTGTAGAATAAGTGTAACCAGCAGAACCATCTACGATGCCTGTTGTACCGGGTGTTGGGAAACTTGGTCTAGGGGATGGTTGAGAAACGTAACCAGCTTGAGAACTGTAACCAGCTTGAGAACTGTAACCAGCTTGAGAACTGTAACCACTTTGAGAATTGTAAGTACTACCAGCAACAGTACCAGTTGATGAGAATCCAGGTCTTTGAGTAGTATATCCATAAGGGGTTGTAAACCCAGAAGGAGAGGGGTAACCGGCTGATGGAGAACCAGTTGGAGTACTTGAAGGAAAGGCACTGGTTTTTGGTGGTAAATAAGTAGTCGAGAAACCACCTGGCTGAGAAGGATAACCACCACCACCACCAACTGGTTGTGATACTTTAGGTGGCAATGATGTAGAAGTTGGTCTTGGTGTGCTATTAGAACAACAATCAAAGAAAAAAGAAAGAAGAAAATTAGCAAACATTTATCTTGCAACTCTTACGTCAGACCAAAGCAATTGCATTGTCGATTTAACTCTGAATATCATTTAATACTATTTCAAAGTCATCTTATGCAACAGCTTGCTTATATTCTTTTCATTCGTATCGCGTGCAACGAGACAATAAAGCTTAGATGATAGACATAGTAAAGTAAGTAATTTGCTTGGAATTGCTCAAGTCTATTCAAAAGAATCATTTTGTTGATCTATATATACCTTGGATTGCTCGATGGGAATCCAGTATATTGTGGTGGTAAATAGGTCGATGAGTATGCTGTTGAGGGTGTTGAGGAAGGAAAAGTTCCAGGTCTAGCACTCGTAGAACTCTGATAGTTGAGACTGGACCCAGTTGTACTTCCGAAAGGAGGGAAAGTTGAAGAACCCGGACCATAGGATGGTCGTGGATTAAATGTAGGAGAACTACCATAATTGTTTTGCGGTATGTAAGTGGAGGATGGACGTAAACTACTTGGTGAACCATAAAGTGTATTTGGTGTTGATAAACTATGTGAAGTAGTGTCACTCTCAGAAGATGAGGAAAATGATGGTACATTGGATGGTGTGTATAAGGATGATGGCACATTGGACGGTGTGTATAAGGATGATGGTCCTTGATAAGGATAATTGGTCACTTCGTTGTGGCTCAAAGAAAAAGAAGATTCTTGTTGTTGTTGTACATGGTTGATGGTTGCTGGTTGAAAAGGTCGAGGCTTTTCCGGAGGTCTTTGTGTGCTATACGGTGGCAGGTAACCATTGTCCGATTGTTGTCGTACTGAAAAAATATACCACCAACTCATCGAGAACGAAAATACTTGTTCGTTTCTTATCGCTTCGATTCTCGATATACCTGTGCACATGTACTACACACATTTGGGGGAGCTTCTTTGGAAAGTTTGTGTTAATTTAACAAACAAACAAAGACAATTGGTGAAAATACATTTGTGATAAAATACAATAATCGATAAATTTTCTACGAACTTACCAGTTTTAATGTACATATACACATGTAAAAATAGTCGAGTAATGCGAGCGATATATATAAGTATATATATATATATATATATACATATACATATATATATATTAAAATATAAACGAAAGGAAACTATCGTGCGAGTTGATCAACGAATCGTTGATTTTTGATGTTCTCCTTGTCTTTGAAGATATTGCACCGATTCGTCTTGTAGATCGGCGCGATGAGATTTCGCCGAGATTGTAGAACTATATTATTAATTGAATGAGTTAATATAAGCAATTGTACACTAATGAGATATTTTTCTTTTGTTTAAACATATGTGCATATATATATATATATATATATGTAATATGTAAATGTGCGTGCGTTTGTATAATAACATTATGAAAAATATGTGAAATTTTACTAATGTAAATTTGATAGGATAAATATATACATATATATGTGTGTATTAGCTTATATATATATAAGTTGATATAGAGAAAGAGAAAGATAAAAATGATGAGTAAGAGTTACAAAGAGTAGTACTAGTAAGAGTAATAGTAAATAGGCATAATGATGATGCGTGATTTAGAGAACTCGCCGTTTTCCTCTCGCTCGTCGAAAGGAGAACCTACTTTTACGTGCGCCCTGTCGGTAGATCCCTTGAATCCACTCTAGGATATTTTGTGCCATCACGTCTGCAGTCGACGTTGGTGCAGCTCGCTGGACTCTCGAGTGTGCTAATGGATTTCAAAGGATTTTTTTTGTGGTCAACTTTATATCATTGTCAAACAGATTCTTTTTATATCTCACTTTTTTTCTCTCCCCTTCATTTTTATTTTTTTTTTATTTTTATTTTTCTTTCTTTATTTTTTTTTTGTGTTCTTACTTTTTGCTCTTTTGGATTTATTTCTATTATATTTTTTTGTTTATTTGTTCGTCTTCATCGATCGTGACACTGATTGCGAGTGAACTCGAGATGAGTCCTCCCTTAACTCCCTTACCAGCATCAACGACGTCGTCCGATGTTCTCACGAACAGGGCATGTCCTATGTATTCTTGACCCATCGTTGTTGTTCCTAGAACAGCTACGACGAGTAACGCGGGACTGCACAACATCGTCCCCCACGTTTTTTAATATGTCTGCAAATTAATACACAAATTCAAATTCGATTAGAATACAAAAATAAAAGACAATAATTTTCTATGCGTTAATCTCTTATAGAGGGGATCGTTTAATAATTATTATTATTATAATTATTTTATATATAGAATTGTAATATCGTGTAGGATATAATAGATAATACTACATTGTTTTATAAATATATAGTTTATATTTATAAAACAATGTAGTATATAGTTAAATATTTAGTTTTATCAATTTTTATTTTATATTATTCAAAATCGTGTATCGTTCATTAATTTTATAATTTGATTAGAAACTATAGTTCGATATAATTTACTACAGTTTTTTTGTTTTTTTTTTTGTTTAATAAAATAAAAATTTATATCTTATAAGATTTATTTTGTATTAATCATTATATAATCTCGTCGTTTGATAATTAAATGTTTCGTATGATCTCATTAGGCTAATAATTAATTGATTGGTGTAGATTTCACTTAGGATTATCAATTGGAAATGTGAAATGTGATTCCCTATAATCCTTTAATGAGACCATGCCTAATTGACGTTTCAATATTTCGTGAGCTACCATTTAACATAATCATTAAACCTATCAACAGTTTAAGTTTATTCATTTATACAGTAAATGATCTAAATTGAATATAAATAATGATCTATTTAATACAGTTTTAAATAATAAATAATAGTAATGTTTTATATTATAAAATTGTGTGTTTAAAAGAAAATTAGGAGGTGGAGGATTTGTTTTAAATTCAAAATTAAATGCCAGTTTTTTTATTTACATAGGCCAGTCGTTTGTAGTATGCTTAATGTTAATTATGTCACATTATGCAGAAAACTATTAACCCCTTAATGATCCGAAAAATTAATTAGTTTTACTTCTATTCAGTTATTTGATTAAATTTGATTTCTTATTGATTTCTGTAATACTGAATGAGTACAATTAAAAATGCTTAAATGAAATGTTAATAATCTAATTCACAAACTGCATTAAAAATGAAACTATTTTTGAGAGAAACACATTTCTTAAATTATAATATATAAATAAAAAAAAACATGTAAAGAATTACAAATGATTTTCAAGGACCCTCAGGATAGGACAACGACGAACGTGACTGTTGCAAAGTTCGAAAGTAGAAAGCGATAGTTATGAAATCTTAGCTTAGGATCCCACTCAAGGTTGACGTCAGCATCCGAAGCCAACGAATATGGTGTATAACATAACAAAAGAAAGGTAAAAGAAGAAGATGAAATTTAGTTACACGAAATGATTTCTTGATCTCTCATTCGCGGTGTATTTATCCTTCAAAATACTTTTTCAATCAAAAGAAAAGAAAAAAAGAATCAGATTGAAGAGAAGATTTTTGTACGAGAGAAAATATTCGATTATGAGATAAATAAACGAGGCGTTACTTTCAAAGGGAATAAACTTAGGATAACCTGTTTTTAATGAGCATCTTGTGAACGTATAAGAGATGAAAATGATGATGATGATGATGATGATGATGTGAAATAAAGAGAAAGAAAGATAGGAACTGTATGAAATGAGATTGTAAGATTTTATACTTCAAAAGGAGTACTTTGATCTCGAAAGACGAATTGTATGTTAAGCAAAGGTGCATTTTGCATGATGATAATTCGTAGCTCGGTTGAATTTCGTAAACGTTTAAATGTAAATGATGGTTTGTGCAAGTTGAAATTATCAAAATGTTCTATTTAATAGAAATTGTCTTAAACGTGTTATAAAATGTTTGTAGTAGTAGTTGTATTAATATGAATATGTTAAGGAGTTTATAACACATAGTTAGATATTACATTTTTCTATTATTTTAATCTATAATCTAACTACCAATGGCAAATCCCAAATGACTCGAAACGAGCTTTTACGTGTCTCTCGAAATATCTGTTAAATGATTATTATCGCCCACCAACCAAGAGAATTCACGGTAATAATTCGTTTAAACGGTCGTTTGGAGATTCTACGCAATTGTTACGAGAAAACGTGACTCGTAATTTTCGTGGTTTACCCGACCCGAAATATTTCTTTTTTTCTTTTCTTTTTTAATGAATCCACAAGGTGAATAATAATAATCAAAGTTATTGCATTAGTTTTTTCTTTTCTTTTCTATTTTTTCTCTTACTATTAATTTCCATCGGATAAACATTTTATTATTATTCTTATTAGAAATATTCATTAATTTTTAATATCGTTTTTATATTATATAT